ATAAATGTCAGCATACATTTAGAAAAAGCAACCTGGGGAAGAGAATAGAATCTGCAGTGGTCTCAAATAAGGTGCAGTGGTGCACAAATAAATCAATTTTTTAACCTCAATTATTTAACCTTGTACTTCTTTCCTGAAGGGAGCTCTGGTGGCATAGTGCCTACGACATTTGACCGCTAACCAGAAGGCTGGTGGTTCAAATCCACCAGCCACTCCTCAGAAGGAAGATTGGGCAATCTACTTCTGTAGTGATACTGCCTGGGAAACCCAAGGGGGGGGTCACTATGAGTCAGATCTGACTTGATGGCAGTGAGTCTTTCCTGCACTCTTTCTCTGTTGGAACAAGGGTCATTGGAGAGGACTCAAAGAATCTGCATTCTTAGTTTTTAGCTGGTGTATGTTAGATGAATGGAATCTTGGGGACCAGTGAGAAGTGTAGAATCTCTCTCTCCCCACCACAATTTCTTGGTTCTACAATTCAATATTCTCAAAGGCATTCAATTTCCATGATCCCAGGAAATATTTTTCTTGTAGCAGAGGAGTGGCAAAAGAAGAAGGTGAAAAAATGTGCATAAGTTTCACATGGCTGGGTGCTATAACAAGGTATGACCTCTTGTGCATCCTAACCTTAGCCACAAAATAACACTATGGAAATGGTTCATAGAGCAAATATGTATGTATACTCACATACAATACACAGACAAAAAATATGTAACAATAAGGAAGATAGATTGTAGATTGTGATACAGTGCTAAGTGGGAAAAGCAGAATGCCCTTTTATTACCTCTAACATTATTTAATTAAATTGCTGGGCTACACTGACAAGATAAAGATGCCTATGTTGTCCCAGGTCAGTTGATCATATTTTCTTAAGAAGGGACAATTCCAGACCAGATGAAAGACAAGTTACAAAAAGACTTCACAAGAAAACAGCTGGTCTTCTAGTAGAATGAAATAAAGCATTTCAACAAAACTGATTGGCAGTTAGTAGCTAAAACAGGCCTTTGCTTTTTAGGTCATGGGGATGTCTCCCACATCACTATGAATAACAGATCAAAATAAATAGAGTTTAACAACTGGAATAAATAGAGAATCTACATCTTAGAATAGCATCAGATCATGCAGAAAAGATATAAATATAATATCAAGCCAATTGTCAGATGTTAAGATTTAAAGTTGCTCATCTTCACAGACAGTAAGAGAAACTTCTGAGAGGGTAGAAGCAAGTCATCTCTTTTCACTACAAGGGAAAGATGCCATGGAAATTAATCCTAGTCTCATATCCTTATATATTTCCTAGTTTCCTTCCTTATATCTTTGTCTTTAGCTGGCAACTCCAGATAATGGGAGTTGTCCCTTTGACTGATCTCTCACTCACTTTGCTTGGGGTCATTGGCCTATTTTGATTTAGTAACCTTGGCCTTCTCCAACTATCCTTTTGCTCTGAATATCAGTTTTCAGCCTTCCATTTATGCTTTCTCCATTTTTAAAAAGTAAGCACTTGCCTCTTTCTGACAATACCATTTCTGTTGTGGAACCAGTAATACCAAGAGATCCATCTCACTAAGAAGTCCAAGAACAGGGCACAAGTTGGGCTAGAAGGAGCACACAGCTTTAGCAATTGTCTTAGGCTTATCACCTTTAGTATATGTGATTCCTCCCAGGCTTTGGGTCACTGCTTCCAGAAGAAAAAATTAAAAGAGAGAGAATGGTAAACTGCTATGTTGTTGTGGTGGGTGGGGCAGCACTCCTTAAACCAATGGGGATATAACTCCTGTATAAAGAGTAATGTCAAACACTCTTCTTTCACAGATATTCAGAAGTGTGTATAGTGAATATTAAGGACCAGAGAAAGAGACCATAGTTTTATTAGAAATAGGTGCCAAAAATATCCAAGAAATATGGGATGTCCTTCTCTCAACCATCATTCTTCATATAGAACTGACCACCCCCACCTTTTTGCCCCACTGATCATCTAGAGACATCTAGTATAACATCTGCTTTAACACATTTCCCTTTGTCTCCCAGGAGGATTATAAACAGATCAAAATCAGAGGCTGTATTGTACTTTTGCATTTCTAGCATTGAACACAGAGCCTGGTGTATAATATGAATTCAATAAATGTGTATGGCATGTATGAAAATGAATAAAAGAAAATCAAAAGTGTCTACACTAAGGAGTTTTAATAAAGGAAAACAATGTCATTGGGAAACTATTTTTTTCACTAGCAAAATGGAGTCCTATCCCTTTTACACTCTACTGATTCATTCTGAATGTGATGTCAGGAACAATACAGGGGCAAAAACAATTAGCAGGGGAACAAAACAATCAGCTGAACTGTCTGGAATTTGAGTTATGTGTAGATCAAATGTCTTATATTTGCTAGGCTCCTGCTCATTTGGTCCAGAATGGATGACTCTTGGCTGCACTGTACCAGGAATAATTGTCCCTCATATATCCCCAATCAGCTGTCTTTTAATGACTAGTCAGAAATGACAACGTAAAAACTGCAATGACTTTCATTGTACTTGGCAAATCTTGGACCAACTCCCATTGATTTGTCCTTGGAATACCTTGGAATAGCTCAGAAATACCTTGCACAGCTGGCTATAGGCACTGCTGCTGGCCTCCAGCAATCCAAGAACTGTGAGTTAGAGAGAGATCCAAGAGGAAGAATAAAATATCTGAAGTGACCTTCAGTTCTTACATTGACTTTGTACAGTGGAAGACATTCAATATCTTGGCTTACACAAAAATTGTTTCATGCATATTGGAGGTCAAATGGCCTTTCTAGCTTCCCAGACTAGTACCAGGTTAGGCTACCCTACAGAGAGATTTGGAAAGACTCCCAGGACTTGACAGACTGACTAGTTCCATGTGTGGCCTCCTTCTTGTCTATCTGGCTGCTTCCTTATCTTAGACTATGTTCTTGTTGTTGCTTCTTTGAAAGTTCAGTGTATCTGAACTTGAATAACATAAGCTTGAAGAAAACTCTCTTCCTCCTTTGCGCAATGTCCTGTTATCCTGTTCACAGTTTGACTGTCAAGAAGGTTCCCAATTCTTTTGAAATACACCTTAACTGGTAACAGAGCTAATCTCATCAAAACCACTCCTTGAAAACACCTGCTGGCTGGTCATCCAGTTCCTACTCCAGGCCTGGCTCAGGATCCCTCCCCATCCCCAGGCCTCTGATGCTTGGGCAATGATGGCCACAGTTGGCCTCTTAGGATAAGACTTTGAATGTCTCTGCTCAAGAAACTCTTCCAGTCTCTGAATCTCCATGCCCTCCTAGGCTGGTTCACCAACAGAGCCCATGCTGCTGTCTTGTGTCATCTTATTACTGCTTCTTCCTAGATGTTTCAGTTTCCAGCTAAATGAATGATAAGCATCTTGAGAACAGAATCTGTGCCTGTTACAGATGTCATATCCCCAAAGCCTATGCTAGAGCTATACACCCAGCAAAAGATTGATAATAAGGTAAATTATCCTATCACGTAAAATAAAAGCTGACAACCTGTGAACAGTCCGTTTGGACCTGTGTCCTTAGCATATAAAAAACAGATCAAGCCTCAGTCTGTACATAGCTCTTAGAGCAGAGTCTCCTTGTCTTGATTTTATCACTTTGCTTATCTTCATCTTTGCCATTTGCCCAAACTCTGAGTTCAATATAAATGCAAGAGGCTAAACTGGTGAATGAAAAGAGGCTATGCTCAGCATTCTGGTCTATTCTAAAAAGCCAGCCCCCACTTTCTGGTCCTCACCTCTTCAACTACCTCTCATATCCTTCCCCTCACCTTATTCCACCCGCGTCCATTCTGGACATTGTTCAGTTCCTCGACTGTGCTGTGGATTCTCACCTATGACCCTTCACACAACCTGTTCCTGTCTAGAACACAATCCTTCCTCTTGTCTCTTCACAAGCTAACTCCTACTCATATTTCATGCCTCATGTGTATGTATCTTCTTTCCAAAACTTTCTCTAAACCCTTGCAGTATGTCGAGGAGACTTGCAAGGGCCTCCCAAACTTCTCTGTACTTTCTCTTTAAAGGTGTTGGTGACAATAATTATGATACTAATAATCACCAACATTTGGGAATCAATGCAGTTGCCATTGAGCTGATTGTGACACATGGCAAGCTCAGGTGTATCAAAGTAGATCTACGTTCTATCAGGTTGTCAGTGGCTGAGTATTTCAGAAGGAGCCTTTCTTCTGAGGAGGCTCGGGCTGGACTCAGTCTTCAGCCTTTAAATTAGCATCTAAGCCCATTAACCTTCTCACCACCCTGGGATTTCCACATTGAGTGTCTGCTCACCATATATCAGGCACCTATTACCTCATTTAATTCTCATCTCATTCTTGTGACATAGGTACCTAATTATCTCCTTTTTACAGATGAGGAAATTAAGTATCAAAGATTTAATTTTATGATGTTCACACACTCCATAAGGGCCACATTTCTCACCCAGTCTGACCCCAAAGTCCTTGCTCTCAAACAATACATCACACGACTTCTTATACAACTCCGCATGGTTGTATTTATCTATTTAATGACCAAATAATCCACTAGAAAGTAAGCACCATAGAACAGGGTTGGGTCAGTCTGGTTCAGTGTTGTGTTTTCAAAGCCAGTAGCTAGCACATAGAAAGCACTAAAAAGTCTGTGTTGAATGGATAAATGATCAGCCAATTGGTTAGCCTTCTCAGAATCCAAGAAAAGAAATTATCTGCTCTTTCTAAATGGAAGATGTCTCATAGTTATTCAAAAAGAGTATCATTTTAATATTCAGTCTATATTTTTGCAATCCAACCCTAGCCAACCAAATCTAATAATTTATAACCAGAAAGGATATGAGGTGTCCAAGGTGAGCCCAAGAAAACTCTTCCCTGATAGCAAGGCAGCCTGGGTAGATGCAAAGATTTGGACTGTCCAGGAAAGCAACTCTCATACATCACTGCCACTCAGCTTCCTATGTGCCCCATACGAGGGCAGGACTCACCCCTCTCACAGGTTCTTCCCCAGTAGCCAGTGCCTGTGCAGTCACAGATGAAGCGGTTCCAGCCGTCCTTGCACACAGCATTATTTTTGCAGGGGTAGCTGTCACATTGTTTGGCATTCATCCGGGAACAGGAGGACTTGACGCCCGCAGCGTTCTGCATCTCTGCCAGCTGCCGGATGTTCTTGCTACGGCCATCGATGAACAGATCACGGATGCAGCCCACGTAGCCATAGTTGAGCATGGCAGTCCAGAGCTCCGTAGGGAGAATGAGACCAGCACGGTTTTCAGGTAGGCCCCCTAGATACATGTCTCCCTCCAGGTCCAGTATCTCACTCTCCCCACTGGCAGTGAACGGAGTCCTCCTGCTGTTCACTGATATGGTACCTGGGGTGAAAAGACAGAAAGAGAATGAGCTAACAGCCTTCATGGCAGTTCAGGTGAGGTCACTAGTCAAGGGGCCAAACAAAGAGTCCCAGTAGGTTAGCTCTGACACTTGTGGCTGGCCAGGGAAGGACAGTACAAAGAATGGAACAAAAGGCTGCAAAATGGTAAGAAAGATGATGTGAGCCATTTGGTTCCATCCTGGGCCAGCTAAGGCTTCCTGGTCCAGAGTAGGACCCAAGAAAATCCCTGTGGCCCAGCATCCAGTCCACCTTTCCTCTGCATAAAATTTTGTCTCTGAGAGGTGCGCCATACAGGTTGACAGCACAGTACTTGCCAGTGTTTAAATCCCAGCTCTGACTCCACCACTTGTCTGTCAGTGTGTCATTGTGGTGGTTTGTATGTTGCTATGTTGCTGGAGCTATGCTGCCAGTATTTAAAATCTAGAAAAAGATAGACTAGGAAGGAAGGCCTGGATGTTTGTTTGTATGTTTTCTTTTCTTTTTTTGTCTCCAAAAATTAGCCAATGAAAATTCTGTGGATCACAATAAAATGTTGCCTGACACACCTGCTTGGGACATGTCATCATGAAGGATCAATCACTGGAGGAAGAGCATTAGGCTGAGTGAAGTAAAGGGCCAGTGAGAGCATGGGTAAGCCTCAGTCTGACGAATTGGCACAGTAACAGCAACAATGGACTCTCACATGCTGGCAACGACGAAGATAACACAGAGCCAGTTAATGTTTTGTTCTGTTGGACATAAGGTCCCCATGAGCGGGAGTCAACTCGACGGTGTGTCTGTCTGTCTACCTATTTGTCAATCTATCATGATCTACACGTGTATCATTAAGAAAGTGACTTAAATTACCACACTTCAGCTTGCTCATCTATAACATAGAAAAAATAACTATACCTATTTTACAAGTTGGTGTGATAATGAAATGAGTGTAGAAAATATCAGGACTTCATTCTCTTTATAACTGAATAATATACCATTGTGCGTGTGTGTGTGTATATATATATACACACACACACACAAAATTTCATTTATCCATTCGTCTGTTGATTAAGTTCTATAGTATATACATATGTATGTATACATATATACATACATATGTATTTATGGGGAGCTCTGGTAGCATAGTGGCTAAGACACTTGCCTGCTAACCAGACGGCTGGCGGTTCAAACCCACCAGCCACTCCTCGGAAGGAAGGTTGGGCAATCCTACTTCCGTAGTGATACTGCCTCGGAAACCCAAGGAGGGGTCGCTATGAGTCAGGGCTGACTCGACGGCACATAACAACAACAACAACAATGTATTTATGTATATATGTGTACATATATACATATATAAAACCAAAAACCCAAACTCACTGCCATCGAGTCAGATCTGACTCATAGTGACCCCTCCTTGGGTTTCCGAGGTGGTCTCACTACAGAAGTAGATTGCCCAACCTTCCTTCTGAGCAGTGGTTAGTGGGTTTACCACCACTGGTTATCACTGGTTAGCTTATGCACTATGCCACCAGAGCTCCCATATACATATACAAACATACATATATACACACATATATATGTATGTATATATGTATACATATGTAGATCCATACATTTATGTATGCATATGTGTGTGTGTGTACACACACACACACACATATACATAAAACTCACTGCCATCGAGTTGATCCCAACTCATAGCAACCCCTCCTTGGGTTTCTGAGGCAGTATCTCTATGGAAGTAGATTGCTCAATCTTGCTTCCAAAGAGTAGCAGGTGGGTTTGGACCGCCAGTCTTCTGGTTAGCAGTCAAACGCCTTAAGCACTACACCACTAGAGCTACACACACACACACACACACATACACACACACATATATGTATACACTACATAACTTCATCAATAGATGAACGGATAAAGTTTTATATATATATACAATGGTATATTATTCAGGCATAAAGAGAAATTAAGTCCTGATATTTGCCACATGTGCATGAACCTTGAAAACATTATGCTGAGTGAAATAAATCAGACATAAAATGATGTATCATAACTATTGTATGATCCTACTTAGATGAACTATCTAGAATATGCATATATGCATATGTATACAGTTTCTGACACTGCCCAGGACAGAGTAAGTGCTCTGTGTTTACCTGAGTCTTCTTCTTTGGTAGCTGTACCCTAAAGCTGTGACTTGCTGTTCTGTCTCTCTACTCATGCACTGATACCCCTGGACCCAGCATCAATTACCAGATCCACCAGTGAATACCCCTGAGCATTGCTATCAATATATTGTACCTGGAGCATGCTTATTCTTTATTTTCTAACAAACATGCATTAAACACCTATTATGTCACTAATGTCATTCTGGGCACTGAAGATAGACAGGTGAATTTGACAGGCATGCTCCTGCTCCTGAATAGCTGACAGTCCACAGTAGAGGGGCAGAAAATAGACAAGCCAATAAACAAGAGGAATTAGCTAACGACAGGTGCTGTGAAGAGAGGGAAATGAGAACTGTGACATCCGTCTATGACTTCTACTAAAAGTAGAGAATCAGTAAGGACTTCTGTAAGTGGGTGAGAGTTAAATTGAAGCAGAATGTTGAGAAGGATCCGGGCATGCAAAGATCAGGGAAAGGGACATGTCAGAGAGAGGGAATATCATCTACAAAGTCCATGATAGGAAAGAAGAGTGAGATGAGAGCATAGACAATGAGTTCAGTGAAAGGCTGGGCCAAAGCAGAAGTTAAACCATGGCCCCATCAAATGAGATTATCAAAGATGGAACTCCAGGGAACTGGATGGAACTGACTTGAGAACTTGGGAACAGGGGGTCTAGTGCTAAATGGATTCTGATCCTAGGCCAGTTCTACTTTATAGCTCAATTTCTTGAGCTTCAAAATCAAGGAATTAGACTAGGTGACATCTAAACATCATGCCAGAAATTTATAAAATGTTTTTTTCTTCTTAAGATGCTTTATTGGGACCAAGGTAACCAGGTTCTGCCATCCCTCAGTCACCCTTCACTTCTGCCTGAGTTCCACTTCCCTCAGCTATGAAGAGCTGAGATCAAATGAGATCGGGAATGTGAAGTACCATCTAAATTATGACACCAACACCAGAGTAGGAAGGGCATTGAGAGGCCTATGGAAGGGTTAGACTAACAAGCACACCTCCCTCAACTCTCTCCTAGAAGTATTCTCCTAGAGAAATCTGCTTTACTTTCTTCTTTTTAAAAATCTTTCAAAAAAACTATATAACTTCTTCAACAGATGAATGGATAAACAAAATTTTGTATATACATATGATGGCATACCATTATTCAGCCATAAAGAGAAGTGAAGTCCTAGTATGTGCCACATATGGATGAACCTTGAAAACGTTATGCTGAGTGAAATAAGTCAGACACAGAAGGACAACTGTTATATGATCCTACTTAAATGAAGTAGGAGCTCTGGTAGCATAGTGCCTAAGGCACTTGACTGCTAACCAGAAGGCGGGCGGTTCAAAACCACCGGCCACTCCTCGGAAGGAAGATGGGGCAATCTACTTCTGTATTGATACTGCCTCAGAAACCCAAGGAGGGGTCGCTATGAGTCAGGTCTGACTTGAAGGCACATAATAACAACAACAACTTACATGAAATATCTAGAATAAGTGCAGAGAGAT